ATTATATGCACTAGATTCGAAGATTTATAATTATCATCGTAAAACAATAATACTTAAACATGAATATCTCATAAGAGATCATAAATGTTCATTTAACATGATTCAGTAGATATGTGAAAACTAATAGAAGAAAAAACAAACAATATAAACAAATGTATATTTTGTGAAACTATCATAGAGTACATTTCATTAATATATATATATTAATATGTGATTTTTTATAAAAAGCTGAAAGGCAAATATTTCAATTGTATTTTTAAAAAAAGATAATTTTCTATGCATTGTAAAGTTATATATAGTTTCTTTTTTTTTAATATTTTATTCTACATAAATATAATGCCCTTTGACAAAAAGAGCAACATATACTGATTATTTACACTTGAATAACGAAAAAGTACTTAATTTGGTCACAATGTTTTCTATTAAAACTAGGTTAAATATATAACGATATTATGTTTTTGATTGAATTGAACTTTTATATATTGTATTACACTAAGACAATAGGTAATAATAATGACCTTCAATCAAACAATAAGAATCATAGAAAACATGTTTATATATTCTTGTTAATTAATGGATCTTATCTAATATTATAAGAAAAAAAAGTAGTTCAGTAATGTCAATAAGTTCGTACCAGAATACTGGAGCTTCTTGTTTCGAAGCACTCAATAACACTTTTGCTTTTATTCTATTAAATTCAATATAAAGGTGAGTGTTTTATAGGAACTCATTTCCTATGATTTCCAGGTCATTTTCGCTTATGCATAATGTTAGTAAATTGTCAGTCAATTTTAAAAGATGGACTACTTTTGATTTATATATATTCATTTTCGGTTTTTATCAATTAGAATATCTTCTAGGATTATATTTTTAGTTTTTGTCGTACTGCAATAAATCGAAATAGATTATGTGATATTTTATACGACGAACACTAAGAAGATCGAACTTTAATTCTAAGAGATATTTCAATGGAAAAAAAGATTAAGGATGAAATAATATTTTGATCAGAACGTACCGATATTATTATCAATAAACTGTAATTCTGGTCAATTCACTTTGATGCTAATTCTAATTACATTGTACTTTTCAAGAGCTAGTTTGAGTGTGACCAGATAGGAAGAAAAAATCATATATATATATAGTGACAATAAAAGTTGATTATACATCTCATACAAAAATAGATGTAAATTTTACAATATAAAACTGCGCATCTGGCGATGTCAACAGGGAGCATTGTTCCTGTATACGGAGAAATACTACGCTTTCAACATAAGGTCATGCAAATCAAGGAGAAATAGAAAGAAATAATATAAATTTATACTTATCATTCTGTGTTCTTGTTTGTAGATTTTAATTCAAACAGATGTCATTTTTTTAGAATGAATAAATAATGCGAGTATCATCTGCTTACGAGTTTTTAACTTCTACTTGTGAAGATAGAAATGCATCAGGGATTTCTTAATATAATTTTCCCATTCCTTTAGAAAAAAAATTCTATTTCTCTCAAAACTTAACCTTAGGCTAAATAAGTAATATGATTGTTGTATGTTTACGAACTTTTGACTTTTACTTATCTCAAGAAAAATTATCGAAGGATTTCTTGTTTGCTAATATTTAATTTCCTCTATTTTAATTGGATGTAAATGACATCGGTTGCTTTTTTAAAGAAAACATTTCTCCTGGACTTTGCAGGAGGCGATCTATTTCCGGTATAAAAAGAGCAATTTTTCGTTTTTCTTTTTTGAGGATATTGTGCAGCTCTCAATTGCAAAGAGGGAAAAGCATTTTGTACAATGTTTCACGAATTTTTTCTCGCTTTTAGAATTCAAAACATTTACATATATTTTTTCTATAAAAATGTACGATCAATTTCAAGTCAAGCCAAATGAGATCATTTTTAGAAGTTTTTATTTAGCGCAACAAGTCTACAATAGAAAGTAGTGAAATGTAATGTAGGCAAACTATGAAACATAAGCTTAATTCTGTCAAAACCTGTACTTCGATATGTCGAATCTGTCGTACGATAAATTGACGAACAGAATCATTTATTCAGTGAATAATCAATTTTTAAAGTCACAATATATGTATAGAGAGATTTCATACTTGACTATATTTGCTTGTCATATCAAACATACGTTGTACAAATAACTTAGGTCAAATGATCGGATCTTTCATGATTAATATCTAATCTTGTAGAATCTTTTTAAGAATCAAACAAAAACGTATGATAACTCATGGTTTCGGGAAAACTCACATGAAGTCTTGGCATCCAATTTTTACAAAATTTTATAGGTCCTTTTGATAAAATAGTACAGATAACGTGATTTCGAAAGAATCGTATGCCAAGAAAAGAAAACTAATAGAATGTCATCTATTCTTCACAAAAACAGTATTTCTTGAAAAGAAAAAGAAAAAAGTTATATATTGTTGTAGCCTCCTGCCTTATTAATGTAATCACCTAGCATCTAAACTAAAAATAAAATATTTCCTAAGATTAAAAATAGAATACAATCATACCTTGAAGAAAATGTTTATTGATTTTAAATTTTCAAAAACTAAACGTGATTAAATTTATTACCAAATAATTCTCATAAGATAATCAATAATTGAATAATCTTAGAAATAAAATTCTATCTAATTTTTTTTCTAGTATATCTACATTGACAGACAAACTTGGTATTTATATTGACTTCTTCATTCAGTTTTAGTAGTAAAAGTAGAATGTGTGACAAATGACGCCATTATCATCTCCATGTGTCCTAATTATTGTACTTTCGTATAGAGTTAATCATTATCCATTGTTCTTTCATCATTTCTGACTTTCTTTGTTGTCAATTAACATCTTTGATTCTATCTATTCCTGTTATTTGTCTCCTGCCCATCATTAGTATTTCAATTTCATTATTCATAGATATACGTGCATGATAGTAGACAATAGGTTACTAGAGGTACATAGATTAAAATTTATGAACTCGAGATTAAAAAATCTAATATTGACGTCAGTACTTTTTCAAATCAAATTATAATAAAGTGAAAAAAAAACAAGTTATGACAAGGACTTGAACAAGACTTTCAAGGTCACATTTTGGATAGACTAAATAATTCATTACAATATGGAATAGAATATTAATCATGCAACTTAACTTATTACCAAAAAAGTTCAATGTTATAGCACACATTGAAAAGTATGTTTCAGAAGGTAAAAATTGTGTCAAAGATACTATCCATATCTTTCTGTTAGGTACTTTGTCGATTGTTTTCTTTTAATTTCTTCTTTATTGACTATCTTACTTTGATGCGATATCTCATATATTGTTCAATTATACTAAGTTGTCTCTTGATATATTTCATTGAACATCTGATATAGATATTTGTTGTTTCTATGTAAAGATCATGTGTTTTAACCTTGCTAACGAACTCATTTTACACAACATTCTATTATAGATCTAACATTATAAGATAAAATTTCTTACCTTTTGGATTTTTGATAGCAAGAGAGGCTTTATTAAGCGTTAATAATTTCATACAATGTTCTAAATCTGTAAAAACTTATTCGGAAGAAATAATAGAGTATTTTGATGTCATAACTCGAGTACACAAATATATTTAGAAAAAAAATAAGAGAAAATTTCATCCACATATATCACACCGAGATAATTACAAGTCATGTTGAAAAATTATATATCTCCGGAAAGAGTACTATTATTCTACCTATTGATATAATTCTATGATTTCATTCGCACATTTCTTGTTTACTGAAAAATATCAGGTAATAATCACGATGTTAGTCAAAACCAACAACCATGAAATCTATGTTATGATATACATGTTTCATTTAAAATAAGAATAAATATTTTCCTAGTGCAAAAATTGTAGATATTCAAAAAAAGGTGAACAAGTATATTCACATATTTACATATGAGTGACTTTTTAAGATAGTTTAATTTCTATAAAAATATTGAAACAAATGCTTCCTTAATTGTTCAGTATTTCCATATGAATATAAAAACAATCATTATGATCATCAGTTTTATAATGTGATGTGAATACGAATTTATCTTTTTTTTTAATCACTTGAAAGAAAATATTCTTCACTTTCAAACCATTTGTTACTAACTTTTGTGTCACACTCAGGAACAAAATCATACGAAAAGAAACAAAGATAACTACAAAATGAATCTGCACTTCTTCGCAAAGGGAAAATATAAAATTTGAATCCTTCTATCCCCTCAATAAACCTGTTCAAAAACGAAGAATTTTTTTAATCAATTACTAGAAAATTTTTAGCTCTAGTTATATATAAGTAAAACGATATGAAAGAAAAGAAAAAAAAACATTTGCGTAATACTTTCAAGGTTTTTGTATGGATTTATCAAAAATAGTTTGTGAAATAATAACAGAGATGTCTATCATAATTGCAAATCTATTGCAATTACGTCGTAATGAACTATAAAAAGAAACTGTTAAACGGTGTATTACTGCACTAACTTTTTAATCATATTTCGAATCATTCTATTTCATAAACTATTTTTTTTTCTGCTAGCTAACGATCATCGGTTTTTTCTCATTATTTTTAACGTTTCATAAGATTATGAAAAATAGCGACATAATCATACCAGTTTTCATCGTTTTTATGAGTGTAGCATATATCGATCAACATTTTGCGTTGTTACTTTTGTATTGGATATTAAATAAAAATAATAGCATGACTGTATCAATTTGCACTCAAATAGAAATACTCGAAACGATTCTGACAGTAACTTGTATAATAGTTCACGCAGTTAAGATCGCATAAAAATATAATTTCCGTTTTCTTTTTCTCTAGCACTATTCTTAATAGTTTCAGAGAGCAATTAACTTGAATAGTTTTTTTTTCTTTTCATTTTTTACTTAGTAATAAATTGTTTAAGTATAATATCTTTTTTTTGTCTTTTAATATAAGTGAGTTTTTGAATTCTTTTGCATCGCTTGTGGTCATGTTTATTTTTTCTTATAATTTAATGGTAATACTTAGTTATTTATTATTCGTAAATAGTATAAAAATAAATCAAATTCTAAACTCACATGTTATAAATTCAACATCTGATTTTCAATCAAATTGTTCAACATGTATTTGTCAATGTATTAAATACAGTTTATCATCATCAACATTCTATTGTTATGTTAATTGTTATACTAAGAATGATACTTGTCAAGTAATTATTTCTGCATCAAAAATTAATTCTATTATCGTCATTGACCAAACAAGTACTGTTTACTTTGCTAATTATTCAACTTATGCAACAACAACTAAACCTATTACTACAAGTACAAGTACAAGTACAAGTACAAGTACAAGTATAAATCATGGAGGTTTAATAATTGCAAATACAATTGTAAATAGTAGTTCTACAAGAACATCAGAGATCAGTGTAACATACGCAACTACTAAAACTGCGATTTCAACTCCCTGATTGTGTTCAATTTGTGACAGACATTGATATCATATCGATAAATTTTTATTGTTATTTATGTGTTGAATTTGTAGATTTTGTCATTAGTAAGAAAGCTTTTTGAAGATTCAAAGAACTAAATCTACCAGTTTTTTGTTCGATTGCAAACTCCAAACATATTATCGAAAATATTTTATGTCATACAAATAAATATAAAACAAACAAAATTCGAAAACCAAGCATTTTTCTATCTATTTAAATATTCAATGTTTCTTAGTTAGTAGATTTGTTTCGTCAAGTATAATAAACTGAAATGCACATCATTCAGTGGCTATTTCAAGTTTCACGTTTTAAATGCTCTGATTCAACCTTTAATAATCGAAAACGAAGCGTTTAAGTCTACTTGAATTTTATATTACGGGGATCGAAGCTATGAGAAAAAATTTGCCGAGCCTGAAACTCAAGTTTATAGTACAATATTCTATGATTTGAAACAAATTATGTTATAAATCATAGGAATCAGAACGTAATTTAAGAAGATGATCTGAAAAAATGCTAATCATCGACTAAATAAATAAAAAACAAACAAGTATTGAAGAATTCTTTTACATGTGACACGAATAAATTCTGGAATAGTTTTCTCTAGACCGAGGTCCAAAAAAATTAAAATCACCAGAATCGAGACTGAGACAAAAAACAACTTGATCCCGAACATTTCTAGCCAAGACAAAGACATATTTGATAATTAGCCTTTTTCAATATTGTTCTCAGTCTTACATTACTTGTTGACAAAGTCTTTCTATTGATTAAAAAATAACTGTTGATATAAAAGAATTCGTTTTACTTGTTTATATCATAACTTATTCGGCAAAATCACATACTTTTACTTCAAGATAAACATCTGTAATATTTTCTATCATAATTATTAACCCCTAAAACAAAATCAATATAAACAAATGTTGTATCCATCGAAGAAAATAACTTCAATAAAAACAAAATAGACGAAGAACAAACGCTTCATAGTTTTCGTCCATTAGTAAAAAGAAAAAAGAACGCCTTTTTTTCATGTTTTACCATTGTACCTAGTGATGAGCAGGACCAATCGTTATTGGTCCCAGTCATGATCAGAAAAAAAATTGACTCCAATTTCGGCCAAAAAAGTTCGGTTTCGACGAGACTGAGGCCATCTTGCCTTTGTCTACTTTTGTATATTTTTTTCTTCAATAAAGGAAATACAAGTATTATTTAAGATGCCAAGATATAGTGTTATATCTCTCAAAAATTTTTGCATAAGCTTTTAGAACATATGAGTCATGACAATATGACATTTGACACACATTTTATACGACTATAAAAGATATCATTCGAAATGAGAAGTGTTGATTCTGGTCTATATCTAATCGTACTTCATAATTTCAAGTAGATGACTGCAAGGTACAATATTTTCGCAATCTGTAACCTGCTCGTTGAAAATTTTTGTAAACTAGCCCTATCCTGTACTACAGAAATCTTTTTCTACACTCTAATACAAGGTTTTTTTTCCAACAAATTTAATTTTTATATTATCAATATCGATGAAGAGTACGTAGAAATGAACAAGAAATTATAAAATTTCTCGATGTAGATCGCATTCAAAATGGTCATACATGTATTTAGAACACAATTACATCTGGCTTAACGATTTTTTTTGCACGAAGAGCACTTCTTCACTTGGTCACCACTCTATTGAAGTCAGTGATCACTTTAATTTGGCTTCTTATTGCATCAATTAACTGGTTGTGATTTTACTTTCCGGTTCTGACGACTATAACTCACAGTAATTTTCGATGTCAGATTGGTTCGTGTACTAGTCTATTGTCTGTATATTTGTTGGTTCTAAAATCATTTTATGCCTAGTCGGTGTCAATCACGCAATATGTTTGTTCTACTAATTCATACTGCCGGAACGTTCTACACATGTTAGCAGTAATCTTTCCGTCATAGGCTAACAGACTATGACTGCAGTAATCTGCAATCTGATCCTGTCATGCCCTGTTAGAGTGGATTACCCATGTCCTGCAGGACTCTAATTTTAAAATTATAATTAGTTCTCTTTTATACAGAAGAAATTCCTAATCAAAGTGACTGACTTTTCAGATAACTTCTAATTAGACATGCAAGATGAAAATCTTTTTGTCATATTTCTTCTAGAACACAAATCATAAAATCTTTTCTAATTAAATAATTTTATGTTTATAAAAAGAAAGAAAAAAAAAAAAGAAAATCAATAGTTCATTGATAACAGCATACGTATGCACATTAATTTGATACACACATAGAAAAAAAATTGAAAACAAAAATCTAAAACATATTATTATTTGGTTTCTTGAATTTCTTTTCCATAGAAAATAAAAAAAATACATTTTATGAACACAGATAATGATTTAAATTATGTTTTTTGACGTTTTACAGTTTCATCAATCGATGCAGTAAGAGTATGTAATAAATCTTCTATTTGTTGTTCAGTTCTATAAATAAAAAAATAAATAAATTTAATCAAAAACAAAAAATATTTAAAAAAAAAAAGGTAAAAGTCCTACTGTAAATTATTATCATGGTCATCATCGTCATCATCACGCTTTCGTTTATTATCTTCTGTTTGTCTAATAGGTGATATAGCTTCAATAATTGGTCCAACTAATGGACTTGTCATTGGTGATAATGGTGTTGATGGATTACTTGTTTGAATATCAGCTAATAAAAAATCTGTTTGATCATTTTGATATTGTGTTGTTGGTGAATGTCCATCATCCGATTTATTTAAATTATTATCATTCTGAGATGAATTAAATGATATTGAATTTCGACGTTGTTTTCGATGACGAAATGCATGATCAATTAATTTTTCTTCACATGTTTCATCTAAACGCCAAAAACTTCCTTTACCAGTATCATTTTCTTTACGAGCAAGTCGAATAAAATAACGATTTAAACTAAGATTATGTCGAATAGAATTCTAATGAGAAAAGACAAAATAAATTTTTTTCTTTTTTTCTTGTAGTTAAATAAAAACTTACTTGCCAACCACGATTATTTGCTTCATAATATGGATATTGTGCTGATATAAAATTATATATTTGACTTAAAGTCATTTGTTTATCAGGTGCCGATAAAATAGCTTGAACAATTAATTGGGCATAGGAAAATGGTGGTTTCGTACTATTTTTTGAATTTATATTATCTTGATCTTGTTGATTGTTATCAATTCCTAATGATGGAAGTCGTTGAATTATTGGAGAACTAAAATTAAATTATAAAAAAAAAAATATATATATATATATAAATATTAATAAATTGAGTTATTTAAAGATTTGATTTTTTTTTACCTAACTAATGTTTGATTTTCAGTTATATCACTATTAGGAATTTTCGGACTTGTTGAACATGATGGAATTGTTGAACTAAAATGACAACAAAAAAAAATACAAGTATATTTTCAAATGTATGTCTCAAAATGATATTTTATAAAATTTACCTTAATAGAGAAGTATTTGATGTTATATTCATAGTTGTTGGATTTTCATATTGTATTTTAATATGTCCATTATTGTGAATAGTTGATGTTGAATTGATTGAAGATGTTGATGAACTTGGTATATTAAGACTTATTGGTAAAAGACTATTATTCAATTCATGATGATGATGATTATTATTATTATTAACTTGATTAACTGTTCGATGTGGATGTTGATTAACTGCGACAAGAATAACTTGTTGTTGTTGTTGTTGTTGTGTGACATTTGGAATAGATTGAAGAAGTAATGAAGATGTTGTCGATGGATTATTTGTATCAATTGGAACTGATGATAATGATGATGATGATGAACGGTGTTGTAATGTTTCTGTTGATACATGACGTGAAACACTTCCAGGTGATGTTCGATTAATTGTATTATTATTATTAGTAGTAGTATTATTATTTATATTGTTATTATTAATTAATGATGAAAATGAAATACACATATCAGTACTTGGAAAACGAATTGTACATCTATGAAATAAAATATTTTAATAAAAAAAAAAAAAAAAAAAATAAATTAATAATCATACTGTTTAGGTAAGACTGTTATTGAAGACATTTTTGTATAATTATTATTAATAAAAATACCATTTTTACTACGACATCTTAATTGAAAATCACTACCATTAACAAGTATTAATTCAAAATGTATACGAGAAACAACAGATGTTGAACCTAATAAAATAAAAAAATTAATTAAATTCTTATTTATTTAAACTAAATTTTCATACCCATATTAACATCAACTTCATGTCGATTAGTTTTTTTTCCAACAATTGTTTTTTCTTGCCAAATATCATATATTCCAAAATGAGTTGATTCAAGACGAGCATATGGTAAATGAACATGATCATTTCCATTTATATTTGTTGCTGCTGTAGTTGGTGTTGTTGTTGTTGTTGTCGTAGTTGACATATTTGAAATAATGAAATATTTCGAATTCAATTAATTGATCAATATTCAATTTAAAATACTGTTCATAGAACGACCAAAAAAAAAAAGAAAAAAAGAAAAGAAAAACGATTTTGATGATTGATAATAGAAATTTGCTGATAAAGAATAAATATCAACTAATGCCGTTTGTGTAGAACAGTTACTATATAAGCATGTGTCTGACACATTGGCACGCGAGAAAAAAACCGGAGAATAGAGGTGAGGGGAATAGTGATGCTAGTTGTGAAGCGGTGGCAACCAAACGCTTTCTTCTTGTTCTCTTTCACTCATAGAAGATTGATCGTCAATATAGTCCAAGAAGAAGAAAAAAAAAGAAAAAAAAGAAAAGAAAAACGAAGACGACGATGATGATGATGGTAGTAGCGGTAGTGGTGGTACGTCGTAGCCGCGTGCTAAGGAGAACGGTAAGAATGTCGACGATGAAGCGCTGTCGGCGTTCGATGATGTTGTTGACATACAGCACGTTCTCTATCTCATGACATGTCGATGTTGCATACAATCGTTCGGTCGTTGTTGTAGAAAAAAAAAGGAAATGAAAGAAAAAAAGAAAAAAAGAGAGAGAGGAGAAGAACGAACAAAAAAAAAAATACTCTTTCTTCTTTTTTTTTTTGTATGATTCTTTATCGAACACAGTCTAAATCAAACTATATACAAAATATACAGTCAATGAATAGAAATAATAAAAAGAAAAAAAAAATAACTCCGATAAATTTTATCGCTTCTTTTTGTATGATAAAAATCAAACAGAAAAAAAAAGAAAGAATAGATTAAAAATTATTATTGATAACTAATGAATAAAATATTTTTAAATTATCGTTTTTTTTTTCTTAACAATTGATTTGCATTGCATTACCTAACTAAATTTTCACCTTTATCCTGCTCTGTAAGATAGGGTTGGGTAACGTTGCACACATTTAGTTCTCGTTTTCACCTTTTCTTGTATTTAATGTTCGTATTGCGCAATGACCTTGCACAATATCTAACAACGTACAAAATATATATATCGAGTATAAAAAGTAGAACTCGATGAGCCACAATCTCGATTCAGACAATGTATTGAGACTGAAGCACTACTATTCGGTTGTCTAGTCGTCGAAAGATGGCTAAAGCGACCATGAATCGGAATTAAATCGATACTCGTCACTATTATTTCTTTTTTTTTTTTTTATCAAATTTTAATTGTGCCGTTTTTTTTGTTACGTTCGATGTAGAGTATCTTGAGTTGGTGAAGTACTCAATAAGAAAAAAACAAAGTTGTATAACGAAACACTTTCATTCCAATCGATTAAAAATGAACTATTTTATATAGTCTTTGTAAAACATGAAAAAAAAGAATCGTTCTATAAGACTATATCATAACACATTCGTAGGAATGTGTTTTAATATAAATTTCAATTTTATCGCTCGAAAATATCAACAGTTATGTTCTTCTTTTATATTTAAGATAAAAAAAATTATTCATAAGTTATCTGATAAAACAAAGAGTGAATGATAACCACAAAGTTATTATGTGTAAACGAAAAAAAACCAAAGGAAGATCGATCGTTTTTGTCTCATTTTCTCAATTAGAGTTTATTAGCAGATGTCACTATCGATCATTTTTGATACAAAAAACTATAATAACCTTTCGAAAGATAAATGGTAGATTTTTACAAATTATTTACCTTATTTTTATTCAGAAGAAAACTTTATTCTATAAAGCACTATGATAAAAGTACATGGTGCATCCGTTGTTATCAGATGAAGTAAAATCCATAACGAATCGATATACATACTATACAATAAGTATCTTACGTAGTCATTTAAATACTATGTATGGCATTACCCGAGTGAATGTACTAAGGTCAAGGTACGATGCGCCTAGTTTCTATAACATTCTATGAAAAACTTTCCAATAAGTTAATAGATTAAACATTTAAAAGCATTTCAGAGTCAAGTACTAAATACTCATAAAGCACACAAAATATCCTTTGACATACCAGTGGCAGGGTACCTTGAGATCAGTACATTCACTAGAGTTTCAGACATCATCAACATTTTACCATTCTCAGCAAATGTACCTAGGTATTTCAAACTTGAGATTCTCATCTGTTGTATAAGTACGAATTGTCTAGTCAAAATCTGTAATTTACTCACAATATAATTTTCACATATTTGTAAAACAGATTGTTATTAAATTAAAAATATATCTCATAATATTTAGATTTTAAAAGTTACGATAAACTTGATTTGTATAAGATAATTTAATACATGTGACTTCTTGTGACATACATTTAATTATGTACATAATCACTGAAATCTTATATCATTATAAATTAAGCATGACATTATCATGCTATGATTTCCGGTTCGTTTTTGCCTCTTATATGCATGCAAAATTAAATTTTTCTCTTCGATAAAAAGTGTCTAATGTAATAGAATTATACAAGTAACTCCGATAATTAAATGACTGACTGTTATTTTTCTTAATTAGAAAATATTTTTTTTAGTATATAGAATAAGATTTGATTAATCATATTATTGTCTTCTAATTTAGAAAGATTATCATATACTAATTTTTTATATTATTGAAATAAATGAAAACATGAATTAAATAGTTTCTTCATTTAAACATCGAAATGAATATGATTGACGACGAGCGTTTGATATCAAAGAAAAATGATTTTACTGCAAATGGCACATATTATGTCGTATATTGAAAGATGATCATTTTTCTTCTGTCAAAGAAAAATTATTTCATCCAACAGATGAAAACGAAATGAATAGTTTATAATTTAGACATAAAATTTTCTAGAAAAATATTTAATCACTTATCAACTAAAACATTTTTAATTAAAAGATTTTCAAAGTTAGGAAATTGATTAGTATTCAAAATTCAATAGAATCTATAGTATGTTCAATTGAAATCGTACAAATTAACTATACAATACCGTTTCTAAATTATCAATTACGATGAAAAACAATTCAAGAATGTTCACACATTAAAAATATCAAGGAAATAAATAGTCCTGCAATTTCGTTGTACAGATTTCTCCTATCGATTTAATCATAAATTTTTAATCTTTTAGTATTTAATATCATGTTTTCTTGACGGTATAAATCAAGTTTAACTGAAAACAATAGAATTGAAAATTAATCAGAAAAAGAAAAACACTAATATTATCAAGAGTCAATATGTTTGTTTGATAATTTTTGATATTCAAACATAGAATCTAATATTTGCCATAGACAAGATCCTTGAGGATAATCATTATCAACTAAATTAACGAGAAAATAAGTATTTGCTATTTTATCAATAATTGCACGTGAACATGATTCTTGTTCATATAATTTGCCCCAACGTTCAGTCCATAAACTAAAAGCTTCATCCTATATTTTTTTTAAATAAAATAAATAATATGATTTCGAAATAGTTTTTTCGTTCTTTCTTTAAATTACCTTCCAAATCATAAAACTAACAGGATCAACAACTGTTGGTTGAATGATTTCACGACCAGCAAAAACACCCCATGTTACAGCTATTGGTTGTTCATCATCTGCATTTGTTTCACTAATTTCACCCTATAAAAATCAATATCGTTAGAAATATTTAAAAAAAAACAAAGCAAAAACAAACATATGCTTACTGATTTATTCACAAAATGATAATTAACTCCTGGAAATTTTTTTAAAACAGCTCGTAATACTGGAATATTGCCTTCATTTGTAAAAAATTCCAAATAAGCCTAATTAAATTTTGTTTTGTTGTAATTTAATAATACATAAGATTACAAAAACTTATTATTACCTTTTGATAAACATAACCATTTGGTGTACCCCAACCAACAACTGGATCTAAACTTGGTTTTCCATTAACAGCTGGTTGAGAATTAATTGTTAAAATTCCTTGGCTATTAAATTCAACTAATTCTTTTCGAATTAATCCTGTCTCTAATGCTAATTCATCATCTGTCCATGGGAAATGACGAACAACTTTATTTAGACTATTTTTTTCACCTCCAACATAACAAGCAAACATGTTCCAAACATCTTGTTCACATGTTAATTCACGTCCCCATTCATCAAGTAATTCATCACGTGTTGCATCAATTTTCATATAAAATAAATGATAATCAGTTAATGCACCAAATGATGGTGCTGATGATAAACCCCAACGTCCATTTGGAAATTCATTCCAATTTGATGTACGATGTACATAAGACTTTGGTCTTATACTCCAAAATATTGGTCGAACATTTTCTTTTGAACGTGCATGACTAAATGAAGTTTTTTTCCATGGTAAAGCACGTAATGTTTGTTCTTCTAACCAAAGGCCAAGTTTTTTTAATATTTCAATTGTTGCAAATTCTCGATTTAATGTATAAAAATGAAGACCATCTACTTTACCAGATTCTAATAAGGTACGACATAAATCCAGACATGTTTGAACACCAAAATTACGTATAGCTTCATCATTATCCTTTATTGGTTCAATACAAGCTAGAATTTCTTTAGGTACATCGAGTTTAGCCAATCGAACAATATTACGAAGACTTGCAAAACCCTAAAATCATAATTCTTTTCTTTTTTTGTTTTCAAATCAAAAATATTCAAATTCCTTACTTGAATAGGCAATATTCCAGGAATAATCGGACATGTTATTCCAATAGCACGACAATCAGATTCAAATTTAAGAAATGTTTCTGGTTGAAAGAAAAGTTGTGTTATTATAAAATCTGCTCCACAATCAACTTTTTTTTTTAAATAACTTAAATCGTCTTCATATGATGTTGAATCTGGATGTCCTTGTGGATAACCTTAATCAAATAAAATAAAATAAATCATCAATAAACAAAAACAAAAACAAAAACAAAATATATATAACAATTCAATTTACCAGCAACACAAATTACAAAATAATCTCCAAAATGTTGTCGAATAAATTTAACTAAATCAACTGCATAACGAAAATCACTCTTTTCTGCATCCCATTCTTCACCTACTAGTGGATCTAAAATAAATTTTTAACATTAAACATAATTAACATATTTCAATAACATTTACCTCCACGTAATGCTAATAAATTTCTAATACCACAATCTTTTGCTTTATAAAGATATTCAAGCATATTTGCTTTTTTAGCACCATAACATGTTATATGTAACATTGTATCGATTCCACAATAATTTAACATTGTATTTGCAATCATCATTGAACTTGTTTCTTTATTACTAGCTGGATCACCTGCTGGATGCCATGTTATATCACAAAATAAAGGTTGACCAGCTGCGATACGATCAAAACTAAATTTTTAATAATAGAATATAAAAAAAACAATAGAAATTTATTCAGAAAAATAAAATATTCAAAAAAATTTTTACCATCCAATAAGATTGGCAGCACCACTTGGTGTACGCGGTGGAAAAAATTCAAGTGAATACCAACGATCATGATCGGCAATACGTTTTAAAATTTTTTCTTTTAAACTTACATATTTTATCGGTTGAAGACAACAACCTTTTGCACTTATATTAGCACCTTCACTTTCAATACGTTTAAATCCATTTAAATCACATGTTGATTGAAGATGAGTTTCAACACCATTTATTTTGTGATTATTAGGGACAGCCTGATTGTCACTAACTGTGAATTCCATGTGCACTTGAAATAAACGTACCTATGTATCCTCTTTTTTGTGAAAACCTTTGTTCAACAATTAAATAATGACAGAAATATTGACTTCAATGTTTTTTGCTTATATATATATATATATTCGATTTGTTATCACACTTCGAACGCGTGGTATTGGTGGTAGTCTAACGAAAGAGAAAAAAGAACAGTCATTTAGATAGAACAGTGATCAGAAAAAAAACAACTTTTGCGCACAAAGGAAGTGTGTTATTGTTATTTTCGTTTGTCTTAGTTCTATTTAAGTATCATGACCTTACGATTTTATTGAGTAACAGATTTACAATGAAAATATTTCAATAGTTACACACAAAAGAACGAAAAGCAGCTCTAACTGGACAAGAAATATATCAATTGAAATATTAAAATATATTTCAATGGAGGTCGCCATGAAACATTCTATTTTTTTTAAATCTGTTCCGTTTGAAAACAAATCTTTATCGAGACTAAGATAAGAAAGTAATATATATATTCTAAAAACAACAGATTTTTATTCGACGAAAAAATAAAACATATTCTATCAAGAAACAAACCCTAACTACAACTGTAAAGCAAGTCTATTATACTTGATAATATATATCTTACAAATGTGAGAAATAGAAGATGACAAAAAAAGTACATCCAGGTGATGATATAGATAAGGTATCCAAAAAACAATCGATATGAATGTACTAAAATCAACAAATACATTAGCAATAGACAAAATATCACGTTCTATTTTGCTCAATATGAATATATAACCAATCCGAATTGAGTATAAATTTGACTCATAATGAAAACAGTTTAATTTCTTAAAAGAAAATTATTTTTCGTAATAAAGAAGATATGAAACATAGCAATGATTCATTGTTGATATAAGCTTTAACATACAATTTAAAAACAAAACGTCATTCGACTTTGTACTAGAAAAGCAAACGGCTCTAAGTTTTGTTTTAGTAATATTTGTGTACACAATGAGCAACAAAGTGGACGTTTGGTGAAAAAATAAACGTAATATTTTTTTGGCGATTTGAATAATGTTGAATGTACTTTGGCTAATGACTGAACTTTTGATTTAGAAAAAAACTATTTTAGCTCTTTAGAGTTTAGGGAAACTCGACATCCAAAAAGTGGCCAGGTTTCTGTCGTCTCAGAGGAAAAAATCTTTTTTTCAAATAAAGGAGAAATACCTACGGAATAAATCATATAGATCTTGTTCTATCATGTTATATGACAAACCTTGTTCTAGCAGTTTCTTTGTTGGAAAAGTACGTATGCTTTCTCAACTAAAAGTTTTCTAAAAAGTCGTATTCAGTGTAGTCGGTGAGCACACTTCCAAACTCGATGGAACTTTTACAGAATGTTTTTCTCTGTCTGACACGTCTACGTAGTTAGCATAATGATGCATAAATGCTTCTTTACTGAGGTACAAGTTTTCTAAAAAAAAATTTAGTTTATAAAAGTTTTCTGCCTTCTTTTACCTCGAAATTATTTTGAAAGCCCGTTCCCGATCAAAAATCTATCTTCATTCTAGAACAATCGACCTAGCCGAAAATTTTAGAAAATATGGGCTACGATATAGAAAGCTTACAGTAAAAATTTCAGCTCAACATATAGAATTCTTTAAGAGTTATCTCTATATTAAAAATCAAAAAGTAGGCCTCTATGTGTCACAGATTTCTCCTCCAAATCTAATGATACAGATCTCATGTTGACGTTAAAATGTATCCAATACTTGCCGCTACAACTTAACAGAGGTCAATTTTCCAAATCCTTCTTTATCAATCTTTACTGTCAGTTTTTTTCGAAAAGCTCGATTAAGTTGTGAAGCACAATTTTCTCTTCAATTAAAAGAACCGCTATGAACTTTTCAGCATGTGAAATGAGTGAGAAATCTGGAACGCACAAGTAGAAAAAAAATGTGAAACAAAGTTTGTAATTAAAAATCAATGTTTTTGTTAAGTAAAATAGTAGAGGAAACACATCAGCTGTAATCTACCATGTATTATGGACTATGGTGGATCAAGCGAAGCCTCGCGCATATTTGTACAGCCTCTAAAGACCTAAATCTAGAAAAGAAAAAACATATATAGTGTGGTCGTGGGTATTCCTGTTACCTACTCACACTCATACTAATAATAACAGCAGCTTTAATAGACAAAAGATAAGAAGAAGAAAAAAATGATTGTAGACGTGGAAGATTGAAGCTGAAGGAAGAGAAGAGAATGCATGCTTATGCCAGCAGGCATCACGTTTGATATAACATTGTCAGAATAATTTCTTAGTTAAATGAATACTGGTAGCTAAAGAAATACAGGGCACGAATACATTTATTCGAATGCTTGCAACGGTGGATTCCCGTTTCGTCGAAAGCTTAATTGATTTTTCTGTTTCGTCGAAAATGAAAAAATAACCGTTCCAGTTTCGTCGAAAAATTAAACTGTAATAAAAAAGAGGATAATCAAAGTGATAAGTCCAATTGCTTTGATTGACTTAAACTATTTTCTTAAAAAGAAACTAATTGATATCCCTATACTAGTAATCTGTAATTTCGCAAAAGCATATATATGTGGAGTAAAAAAGGGAAAAATCATTTTTTTTTGCTATATTTATTCATCATTACGCAAAATGATACTATCTATTGTTGAAAGTAAACGTAATAAACCAACTTTATTACTTGATACTTTTCTCTACACACGAGATAAAATTTTAAACACAACTGTTTATTGGAAATATGAAAATCGTTCATATCCTGAACGTGCTAAACAATATGGTTCAAATCCACCATGCATGAAGAAATCACATAATCATAATGGTGATGACATGAAATGTAAAATGGAACAATTTAGAATGAAATAAAAAAGACATGCTGAAGATTCCCCACAATCAGTAAAAAGAATTTATCAAGAAGAAATTAATTGGAATAAAAAAATATTGATTTTTTTTTCTTTTCTATATTCATATATTCTCTTAATAATTTCTTATTTATGTATCCAAATCTGCTCCATAAAAATTTTTTTTGACAAAGTTATCTACAAGTAATTAGGCACTAGTGCTGATTAGAGTCCATCGGGTCCAAGAATTTTTGGACCCGGACCCGGTGAATTTAATTTTTCTGGATCCGGACCCGGACCCGGTGAATTTAATTTTTCTGGATCCGGACCCGGTCGATCAAGATTTTCAGACTCGAACCTGATAGATCATTTTTATGACAAGTCAATCACATTTTATGAGCCAAAAAATCTCATATTTTTTTATAAACAAATTAAGCTTTTTCGAATCAAACGATCGAAAATTTAAAGAAATTCGTAAAATTTTATTATATGCATCAAAAGGTTTTTTGATTTGGTCCAAAGGGGCAAAAAATTTCAGACCCGGACCCGATGGGCTCTAGTGCTGATTAGTATGACGAAAAAATCTCATCAAATGATGTAATCCATTCTTCATTGATTAATTAGAATTTATTTTTTCGAGAAAACGAAAATAGTCATTTATTCATTTTCGACGAAACGGCAATAGTCGTTTATTCATTTTCGACGAAACAGGAAAATTAATTAAGCTTTCGACGAAACGGAAACTAATCCTTGCAATACTTGCTATTTCACATATATCTGCTAGATTTTCCACTATAGGAAACTTTAGAAAAAGTCTAAAAAGCAACAATAACTAACATTGCCGAAAAACTCATTTTGCCTAATTCCAACATCATCAATAAATCTTGTGTAAAATCTTGAAGAAACATCGCAATTTCGATAAATAATACTATCTTCAAAAGTAGACAATGAAAGTTATTCAATCACATAAAAATCTCAAGATTGATTTTTTTGACGAAAATCATGGTTTTTTTCTATAGAGAAGAAAAAAATAAGGGCATATTTGGAATCATTACGAAAACCTACACAGAATGATTTAACATTTGTTAATTTTTAAAATAAAAATTTTTCTAACAAAAGTTTAGGATTAAAGTTCTTCGATCGAAAAATATTCAAACAAATGATCCTCGTTTTTGTAAAATTTATGCAGGCAATTGGTAGAATTAAACAAAAACAAGGTCATTTCAATAAAGCATTAAAATATTTTCAATCGACTCTTCATATATACAATCATAGTTCAAAGTCTAATCCATCACTTATAGCTTTTTGTTTATTTAGCATTGGTGTAATCTTTCGTGAACAAAATAAATATAATGAAGCACATGATAAATTCGAAGAAGCACTAAGATTTCAACAAGATAGTTCTTCACATAATTATGATTTATTGGCTAAAATTCATAACAATCTATCTATGATATTTGAACATCTTCTTGACTGCGAACATGCTATAGAACATGCACGAGAAGCATTAGAAATTGCAACTAATATAATTGAATCAAATCATGATCAAACAGAGATGTATCAAGACAATCTCAGTAAACTTTATCAAAAAAAATGATGAATGACGAACTCTATATCATACTTCATATTGGATAATATTCTGAAAAATATGTCTCTTATTTAAAATGAATGTTTAAATATGAATAATAACATAGTAAAAATATGAAGTTTAATTTAATTTTAGGTTGATTTCTGAAATTTTTTCGAGTTATTGATATTATAACAAAATCGAATCTATCTCTTGATATCGTTTTTGTTTTGTTGAAAAGAATAGAAGACCAACAAATGATATCGTTTACTGCTAATAATCACCGTATGTTATACAAAATCAATATGAAATAGTCGCAATTTTCAGAAATAAAGATAAATTTAAACTAAAGCACAATGTCTTCATATATCTATTATTGATTTCAAGAAAAACAAAATATTGTTTTTTTTATGCTAATATGTTCAATTATCTAATAGGATAAAATAAATTATTTAAGATGTTTATCGACGTATGATTCTTGATAACAAGAGGAGTAATGAACAATAAGTTCTTAATTATAGTAAAACAGCATCGAAATTTTTAGAAAACTTTCACTATACGGAAATGTTTAACTTAGTGAGTTGATGTATGGGTTTGCTATGAAATGAAGAGACTGTTCCCCCTAGTAATGCTGCTAGAAGGCGCTCAAGTCTTCTTGTAAGCGGAACTCAATCGTTTTCAGAAGATGCTCGAAGTCTTTTGGAAGAGGAGAAGGGGGGGGGGGGGGGTAAACCTCTCCCGGTTATGTTCCTAAAGAGTCGTATTGTAGATTTTAGAATTTTTTGTCATCGAGAATATGAATTTCAACACTAGCGTAAATCTTTTTAAAAAAAAGAACGCATCTGATATCATGTTTAGTTACAAACAAAAAACATCATAAATAACACTACATAATAAAAAGACTTAAGTAATTCTCTAGAAGTCTTGTAAAATTTTCAAAGAAGAAATTGTAATTTTCTTAAGATTAAAAAACGTCTTCAGATAACAAATAGCCGCTTGTTTAAAATCAGTATTGTAATGAAATTACAACTCAGACGGTAATTCAAGTATTCATCAACAGACGTTTTTTATTTTCTTCTATTCACTAGATTCGAACATAGGACTGATTTCTTTATTCTTTTATTATCTGTGACTAAATCCATTCATACAAATTTTTTCTTAGTTATATTTCAATATATTTTATTTCATAATGTTTTATACTGAAATATCTATAACATCTTGCTCGTCATCTATATCACGAAACAGAACATTAAAAACTTGATTATAAAAATTTGGATAGAAAGTACAAGCACGATGACAATCAGGTGTAAAATTAATTTCTAATAATTTTGGTTGTACTTTATTATCAATCATTTCAAGCATTAAATCAGCTGCATATAAAGCTCGTGATGATAAACAAGATGCAATACCCAATGGTGGTTCTTCTTTAGTTGCACATTGAAATATTTCTCTAAACATTTGAAATATACGTTGTTCAACAATTGACCATGTTTGATTATTTTGACCATATTGTTCATTATACATTGATATAAATGTTTGACAATTCATTTGCCGTAAAAATGCATTTGGTCGATAATTCATAACAGTAAAATGTTTTTCATAATCATCTAATTCATTCATTGAAAATGGTTTATTTGCAAAACGAAGCCAAAAAATTTTATGAACATATAATTTTAATGGACGTATATTACGTAAAAGTAGAACATAACGAACATCAAATTTAAAATCATGATTATTCATTTCAGGTATTTTTAATAGAACAGGTGAAGAAATATATTTGCAAGCAATTTTTGGACCTGATTCAGGTAAACGAATAATCATATCAAATGTATTTGTTACTGATATATCAATTGAACGTGTTAAATTTATTGGTTTTATTATCCATGTATTATCAAGTTGTTGATCTTCACGATACTAATAATAAGAAAAAAAAAAGGCAAATGAATGATAACTGGAAAAAAATTTACTTGAAAATAAATAGCAAATTGTGATAATTCATAGGTGAGATTAAATGTTGTTGCTAACCATGGAGGACTTCCATGTACATCAATATATGGATCATTATCAGATGATGATGATGATGATGATGATGAACTAGAAGAATTTAAAGATATTGAGAAATAACTGGAATGATTAAGGACTTGCGGATCCATGTTTTTTTTGTATATCCGAACCCAATCGAGCCTAGGTCTGAAAGAATCCGCAGTTCTCTAATTATGATACGTGATGATCATGTTTTAAAGCGGAAATATTCTCAATAAACTTTTTCTCTTGTTGAGTAATAAAATAAATTTTATCAAATGTGAATCGAAATATTCGGTTTATTGATAACTGACTAATAAAATTTTTATCAAAAAACTGACATACAATCAAAAATTTTAATCTCAAAATTAAAAGAAAGTAGAAAATTGTTTTTTTTTTGAATTATTACATTTACTAAATGTTTTAATATTAATCAATTAGTGATTAATCGTAAGCAACGAACAAAAAAACTCTATAATGAATTAAATATTCATTCGATTTTCTTTAATAGATAATGAAAATATATAGATCTTACTTACCCATATAATGATTTCCATCGTCTTGCAGTAAGTGCTAATAATTCTTTGTTTGTAACAATATTTTCAAAAGGAAATTGATTAATTAATTTATTACCTAAAGTTTCATGACGAAAATCTTTAAATTGTTTCATAACAAATAAAATATCTGCTTGATCAGGATTATCAATTAATTCATAATGTTTATCAGTTAAATATTGTTTAACTAATTCATGATCTGTATAAACTTTCCAAATATGATTATTATCAATTTTTATTGATTGATTTATAATTAAATTTTTATCATATAAATCATTTTGATGACATTTTTCATATATTTCAAGATTATTTTCAAGTTTTTTATTAAATAATTCTGGATTATTTTCTATCATTAAATTTCGAAGAAATGTTTTACGATCATTTAAATTTTGCCATGGTAATAATCGAATGTTATGATCTAATGTATCTTTATTATCGTAGGCAAAATTACGAAAAATTTCCGTATATGATTGATCAATACGAACAATTGGATATAAAATTGTAAACATTGTTTGACTAGGTGCAAAGAAGAATGATGTACAACAAACATTTGCATTTGTACTAGAATGTCGTATTGATGAACCTAATTCATCCATTATATACCTAGAGAGATATAGATAAATTTAATTTATTAAAAGGATGTTACTGAAAACGAGAATCTATTTTAACTACTAGACTTTTAATAGTTTATAATGTATGATAGTGGAAGCCAAATTGAGTCGTTGTTTATTGGATGAATCCTTATCTTTATTCTTCTCTTATAATTGTCGTACGGCGTATTTATATTCATTCATATGATTAGAGGTGTGAGTTGATGCATTGATCAGCTTACATCTCGGCATATGACTAAAGCTCAATTATTTATTTACCTTCCTTGAATCTTTTCTATAACTTTGAACGTAAATAATGACATGGTAGTCATTAACAATTCCATCTATCAATAACTGTTGTTATTCGACACGAAACTATTTTTTTTGTGGATAATCCATTGTTCATAATTATAGATGAAGATAGAACGATAGATAGACTTCTATTGATTGATCTGGTATTATCCAAAGTCTAATCTCTCCAATTAACTAAATAAAGTTTTAATAACATACACAACATAGTATTGGAACTCTTCTTGGGTTAAATTTTGTGATACACGATGTAAAATGAGTGTTGAAGTATAGGGGTAAAAACTTGGATCCTCTTCTCCTACAGATCGTGACAGACATTTTGGCAACACTCCCCTCCCCCCCCCCACATCACAGATAGCGCTTGTCAGGTTCAAAATTTTCGGACTTGAATCTAACCGGCCGGGTCCGGGCTCTAGTCACAGGTCATATATCAATAATGTCTCCTTATAATTTATGAACTATTTCCTTCTTACATTTGTGAAGAACTAAGCAACAGAAAAGTATCCCAAAATAGATAGAATAAAATAATTTTTCTGTGATTAGCCAGAACAACTACATCGTGTTTTACATTTTTATTCGACAAGGATTGCATTAACATCTTTTAATCTGTAAACGTGTTTATCGCGTTTTTTTTGAATATCAATCAGACCTACCAATATGGTTCATATGCTTCTTCACAATCTTGTTGTGGATCAATTTGTGTTGATGTTAATGTATATGTTTGATTATATTTCCACATACGTTGTAAAATAACTTCAATACCATCTTCTTTTGTTTCTGCATCAACATTCATTAATAATGCCATTCGTTCATATAAATTTGGTATATTCATAAGATTATTTCGTGCATCTTTTATTCTATATGTCCAAGCATGATCAATAAGAAATATAGCATTTTCATCATTATGTGGATCTAATATAATATTTTCTAATGTTGATACATAATATCGATGTTCAGGATTATAAATTCTTTCTAATTCATCATCATCATCATCAACAGGACATAATTGAAAATATGATCCACTATCAAATATTTCATTTTTCATTTTTTCATATAAACGTCGATAGAAATGTTTTGGAATATTATTAATCACAAGTTGAAATTCATGTGTTTTAAGAAAAAATTCATATTCATCATTAGTTGTCATGATCTATAAAGAGTTCATTCTCAATGTATAAATCTGTTTTTTTTTTCGTTTTCTTTTTTTCATTTACAACACAGATAATCCAAATAAACATTAATAACAATAATGAAAAAAAAATTCTCATGTATGCACACGCACAGAATATTTAATAAAAAAAAAAAAAAGGAAAAATGATAAAAAGCAGCGTGCATATAACTGACTTCTTTAATTTATGTCTATTTAATTTGAATAGAATAGAAGAACAAAAAAAAAAAAAGAAAAAAATTTGAAATAGTTAATAACACATCAATTAGTAGCCAAATGAGAACACAAAAAAAAAGAATTTTATGTTGTACACATACTCTTCGACAAACTGTTTGAAAAAGGAAAAAAAGAAAAATTCAAAAAAGTAGATCAGTCGTTGTGGACATT